GCCGCACACGGATGTTCCTCAACGTGGCCCCATCGACAGATGGAGAGGACCTTCGAGTTCAGGCTAATTAGTCATCTTTGTATTAAGTTTTTAAACTGAAATGGAATGATGCTTTAAATAGTTATGATTTAATACTGTTTTAAGGGGGGTGGGGGGTGTTTGTATTATATGTTTTATTGTATTGTTATTTTAAACTTGTAAGCTGCCCTGATTGGATTACCACTGGGCGGGATATAAATAAATTTTATTATTATTATTATTATTATTATTATTATTATTATTGCACAATTCTGGGATCCAATGTAATTGCATTTGTAAATATTTAATACTACATGAAAAGTGAATAGAAGCTTGACTTCAAAATTCATCTAGTGCACTGATTTCTAGCAACCCTATATAGGTGGTTCTTGAGGTCTGTAGTTCCATCTAGGTGTGTTTACTTACTGCTGCTCACTGTTTGGAAATGGACTTACACCTAGGAAAATGCATTGGCTAATAGCCTGAAAGCATTTTCCCACTATTGATTCTTATTATTATATAACTCATTCATGAACAGGGTTTAAGGTTCATGGAAACAAGTGAACTTAAGGAAACAGTAGTCAAATACTTTTATATTATAAAGCCTTCCATACAATCGTCAGAGCTTCAAGGAGCCAGGATGGTGTAGCGGTTTGAACATTGGACTAGGGCGCTGGAGATCAGGGTTCAAATCCCCACTCACACATGGAAATCCATTGGGTGATCTTGGGTAAGTCACATACTCTCAGCCTCAGAAAACCCAATGATAGCTTCACCTTTGAGTCAGCATAAATCAGAAATGACTTGAAGGTGCACAACAGCAGCAACAATAAATGTGCCTTCAAGTTGCCTGTTGACTTATAATGACCTCATGGATTTCATAGGGTTTTCTTAGGCAAGGAATACTCAGAGGTTGTTTTGCCAGTTCCTTCCTCTGAAATATAGTTGCAGAAGGTAGGAAGTGAAAATAAAATAATTTTAAAAATGTATCACTATCATACATTTTTGTTCAACTGTAGACAACACTGAATGAACACAGATATTTATTTTTAAAGTATATTTTATTGCAATTTCAGGTACCAATATAGGCCTACAACAACATATGACTGATATCTCTTTTAAGAGGTAAATCAGGAATTTCCTACTACATCCCATTCTCTCCCTTTTTTGTCCCTTGGAACAGAGACCTGTGTTCTACTTTGTAAAATGTGACACACATGATATAAGAATAACTTTTAAAAACACAAATTAAATGTGCAACATAATGTTGCAGTGTGGATTCCTTCTTTCCTTATTTCTCCAGTCAGATGGTCCATGCCTTTGTCCAAGGCTTTCTCCAATCCAATTGCTTTAGTTTACTGCGATTCAAACACTTGCCAAAAGAAAAAAGAAACAAAACGAAACTTTGGTTCATATCCAACATCATGTTTGGTGCTCCTGACCCAGTGCCTTGGAACATTCCTTCCATCCCCTCCAGTTGTCTCTAAATGCCCCCCCAGCCCATTGGAATACACAGGGGCCTGCAGTAGATATACCACCTGCCTGCATTGTGTAGGATTTTTTCCTTCACCAGTAGAAGTCTAGGTTTGGAGAAAGCCTTTCGTATCAATGGCATTTGCAGGACTATAGATTTAGCTGCCCAGTACAGTGATTTCTTTAATCCTCATACTGGTTTCCTCATACTGCCCCATGCCTCATGTCTTGGCCCTACTGGCAATTCTGCTAGTTTCATTCCATTCAGTGTAATAATTAAAATCAATAAATTAATAATTAACCCATGAAAGCAGCTAAAATTTTGATTTCTACCACCAGCAGGAAAAGACACAGCTTCTGCTTGACAATCCAATTCTGATCATCTTGCCATCTCATCTTGCCATTCTCTCTCTCTCTCTCTGACACACACACACATACACACACACACAACATATTAGTATGCAAGGTAAGGCCATAGAGATGGAGAGTACCACCAAGGCCATCTGAAAATCTGGGGCTCTTTTCCTATATCCTTCTTGATTAATAGTTCCAATTTGCAAGGAGAACCAGCAGCACGCTTAAAAGTAAAATAATTTAACATTTCTTGACATGATAGACAATATGGTAAAAAAAATACATGTCTATACAAACAGAAATATGAAGTATGAGCTAGTAGTAATGACAATGATTGCAGCATAGCAACTTAAGCAACTACAATATGGCAAGCAAATAAGAAAATTATGCAATAACTAAGGGGTTCTGCAGACCAGATCAAAGGGCTGGCCTAGAACTAGAGATGGGGAGGGGCAGCTGCACACCAGCCACCCCAACCCCAGCCCAACGATGTCCTGACGCCGTGCGCAGTTACACATGGCGCACAGCATCAGAACATCTTCCCAGCACAGTGTTTTTATGCGCTGTGCCAGAAGAGCTGCTAAAGAGTCATGCACCGGCTCTTAGAGTGCCCTTTTGCCACCCCTGAAAGAAGCGGCATTTTACCACTCTTTCAAGGGTGGCAAAAGGGAGGGTCAGGGCTGCGGCATGGGGTAGCCACAGCCTCAATCCACAACTAGCAGGGGAGGCCCAGAGCCACTTGTCTGTAGCCCCCCCTAAGTCATAGCTATTAAAAAGACTATCACGGTAGCATCAAATGTAATAATTAAGGATATTACAATGTGACTAGCACAAAAGGCTACAATGAAATAACGAATGAAATACAGTCAGCCTTCCTTATCCATGTTATTTTTTTAATCCACAGATTCAAGCATCACAGCTTGAAAATAGTCAAAAAAGTATATTTGCCATTTTGCCATTTTATATCAGAGACACCATTTTGGCATTCCATTGTATTTAATGGCACTTGATCATCCATGGATTTTGTTATCCATGGGGGGTCCTGGAACCAAACCCCAGCAGATAACAAGGACTCACTGTAGTAATCAAGACATCATTGATAGCAACTAGTGTATTAAAAAATCAGAGCAAACCTCAGTAATTAAATCCTAGCTTGACCAAACATCTACACTAGTCTAGCCAACTTAAGCATTTCTAATTCCCAGCTATAAATGAAAGTCTATTGTATGACTATTGTAGAAAGGTCAGGATTTTAGATGGTTACAGAAAAAAGTTTTAAATTATGAGATCTGAATAATTTTTTAAGGGGGGGGAGGGGGGGTAATTGTTTTTTACTGTTGTTGATATTTTTATGATGTAAGCCGCCCCGATTGTGTTCAGAGGGGCGGGGTATCAAATAAAAATTATTATTATTATTATTATTAATAGCAGGGTAAGCATAATGCTAACAGAAAATGGGACTAAAGTGGCCTTTAGTCTGGTTTAGCATCCCCCCTAAAGAGACCACGATGATCCCATACCTGCTTTCCTTTCGGAGGCAGGTAAAAACATTTTTGTTCCATCAAGTTTTTTCAGACTGACAAAGATAGGGCTTTTAAATGCTGTGTAATTCAGATGCCAAAGTTTATATAACATTTTAAATAAATTGTAATATTTTTTAATGTGTGATGTTTTTAATTTTTTAATTTTTTTACTTGTTTTTAAACTTTATATCTACATTTTAATACTTTTCAATTTTTAAAATTTGTACTGATTTAAATTTGTTATTAGCTTCCTTGAGTCCTTATATTGGGAGAAAGATGGAATAATAATAATAATAATAATAATAATAATAATAATAATAATAATAATAATAATAATAAATGTCATTGTTCTTTATATGTCTGCTGCTGCTGTTGTTTGGAAATGGTCCCTTATTTACGGGGCTAGTGTGGGCAGCACCATCATCTAGTCCAACCCCTGCCATGCAGGAATACACAACTACAACACTTCTGAAAGATACCCACTGAACTACTGTTAAAAGCCTTAAAAGAAGGAGAGGCCTTTACCTTTCAAGGCAGTCTATTCCACCCTGCAACAGCCTCTATAGCCAGGATATATTTCCTATTGTTTAGCTAAAATCTTTTTATTGTAATTTCAATTAAGATTATGACAAGAGAATCCTTTGGCTCCCTGAAACAAGTACCTCCAAGGAAACTGTGCTGACTGTGGAAATCCAGATTAGTTGATGGTACTCCCCACACTATCCCTGTGGTTATCTCTGTCATCCATGTCAGCAAGCAGCTGTCAGGTGTGGACTCTGGAGTGAATTTATAGTGAGATGTATCCAGCATCAATCAAATATGTCATACGAAAATGTGAGAGACCAAAATAAACCAGTCTGTGCACTTTGCTCTTTAAACAAAGGCAGAGGATTACAGTAATATTAAAGGTTACAATCTGAGATTACAGCAAAAAGAACTAGCTGGAATTTCTCTCATTCTTACCAGTGAAATGGTGGGAAAAAATGATGGAAAGCTGAAAACTGTATGAAAAAAGTCAGCCTACATATCATTTCTGTTTTGGAAAGCTGGTAAAAGATATAAAAGAGATGGCCTAAACTTGGGGTGATGTCATATACACCCTTTTTGGACTGAAAAAAGAACCATGTTGCTATTTATCTGTGGCTATAGTTTATGTAAATCTGGGCTTTATACCACAGTTAATTTAAAATTCTAGGTATACAGCACAGGAGTTTCCTCTGCTTTTGAGCATCCATCATCTTGAAATTATCTTATTTTAATTGTTCTGTTCCAAGAAAATGAAAAAGTGGCACTAGAAAAAATCAGAAGCATTCAAAACTTACAGAAAACAGAAAAGGATGATTTGTGGTATTTGGCAATACTCAAAATAATTGTATATGACAAATCTGGATTCTGGAATACCAATATTTCCTTGAAGTAGGATCTTACTCTATTTTTGCTTGAAGCTTGAAAGCAACTAGTTAAAACCATCCAGAGCTCAAGGTTTCAAGCAATTGAGGGCTTTCAATCATCAGGACCTTCAATTCAAGACCAAAGTATATTGGCAAGCAGTTCAATGGTGTTATATGGTTTCTATATGGTGTTTGAGTCAGCAGTATTTCTGCTGCATTTTGCACTAGCTGCAAAATGAAAGCCAATGTGGTGCAGTGGTTTGAACATTAGACTGTGACTCTGGACACCAGGGTTTAATTCCTTGCTTGGCCATGGAAACCTACTGAGTGACCTTGGACAAATCATGCATTTTCAGCCCCAGAAAAATGCTGTTAAGATGGATCTCTTCAGGCAGGCCTTTTCTGAGTAGATAACCAGCCACCGAAAAAATTATGCCTGCCCCTGTTTTTCGTTATAGTTATTTTAATTTACTTGTTATTTATTGTAACTTGTTATTTTTAAGTATGTTTTAAATTTTAATTGCTTAATTGTATTTAAGGGGGGGGCTATTGGGGGACAGGACTGTTTGTTTTATCTTGTAAGCCACCCCAGTTGTATTTTACAGAGAAGCAGGATATAAATAAATTTTATTATTATTATTTATTATTAAAATCCCATGATAGGTTTGCCTTAGGGTCACCATAAGTAGGAAATTATTTGAAGACACACAACAACAGCAATGGTCATAGAATAATAAAGAGACCACAAGGGCCATCTAGTCCAACCCTGCCAGGCAGGAATTCCCAATCAAAGCATACCTGACAGATGGCCATTCAGCTTCTGTTTAAAGACCTCCAAAGGTCTCCAAGGGAGTGTTTTCCACTGTCAAACAGCCTTTAATGTCAAGAAGTTCTTCCTAATGATGAAACTGACTCTCTTTTCCTGTAGCTTGCATCCATTATTCTGGGTCCTGTTCTCTGGAGCCACAGAAAACAAGCTAGCTCCCTCCTCAATATGACATCCCTTCAAATATTTAAAGAGGGCTATCATATCACCTCTTAAGAAGTCCTTCTGCCGCATTAAGATTCTGCCCTCCTACCAGCAAGTGAGGCTTGATAAAGAATTGGGACACAGGTTCTGCTTCTGATAGTCGCAGCTTCACTCACTGGTGGAAGGGCCCTTCTTGCCCCCCCCCCCATCACCTGCTGAATGTGCTTCCCTACCCCAATCCAGCAGTTGAACTGGAGCTACTGATTCTTAAGGAAGGCTGTAACTATGTAGAATTACTGAATACAGAGCAGTTATAGATCTGTTATTCTAAGTTACAAATTCATAAGTGCACTACTGAATACCAGCCTGTGATTTTAACTCACTTTATATCAACAATGATTAGCTGGTAAAATTCCAAACTCATGGATTGTTTTGCAGTTTGAAGAAATGACATATTGAAAGAATTGTCAATTGCCAGTGGTTGCATCATCAGTAGTACTTTGCAGTTATGTAGCTCAAAGGCTCGGATTATTGTTTCTTTTTAAAGAAAATAATTAGTTACAGATACAGTTACCATGCTTCATGCAGTTTGTTGCACAACAGCTGTGATTTTTAAAAGGAATTCTAAAATAACCAAAATAGTTACTATTCACTATGTTTGTTTGTTTGTTTGTTTGTTTGTTTTAAAAAAAACACCATCTAGTTACCACAAAAATCTGGGATATTCCTTATTGTCCCTTCCACAAACACAGTAGAAAGTAGCAATACAACACATGAGCAATCACTTCGAGATGTTTCTACTTCAGTATTTAGTGCAGAGCACCTCTGGAACTATGGGGGGTTGCAGACTGCCAGAAATAGTGCAAATTGAGTCCACTTTTAGGGTTAGGATTAGTGCTATGGAATCATGGGAATTGTTTTTTTTTCTGAGACATTGAGCCTTCTCTGTCAGAGAGCTCTGGTGCCACAATAAAATACAGTTCCCATGATTCCCTAGCACTAACCCTAACCCTAAAAGTGGACTCAATTTGCACTATTTCTGGCAGTCTGCAACCCCCCTATGAGTTATTTTTGAAAGGTACCGTGACATCACAAAAAGAACTATTATTTCTCTCATTTCATTTCAATTGTAATTTAACTCACTCATTGTTTATAACGAGGTACATACATTGCTGAAGTCTGGGAGTTATGTTTTATAAGAACAAAACAAGTACAACCATAAATTTGTTGGGTAATTCAAAATGGTTGAATTAAAAAGAAAGAATAGGGATTTAGCTTTAGTGCATGAAGCTAAGACAAGGAGATGGCTTCAAAAACATGGCATAAACAACATGGCCAAACTTTATAAGGTTATATCCCATGGTTGCACTGAAGGAAAGATTTTATGCAACAAAATTATCTCTCTTTTGAAGTCTCCTGTACCCTAAATGTTATAGTATTAATCCACACACTGGATTCACACTTGCATTGTGCTTTCCATTGCAAAGCACAGACCAAAAGCTCAGATTCACTCAGTGCATATGGGAAGTTAAGACTGTTGTATTACTTGCAACATGCATCACTTTACATTTGCTGACATTAGGCATTTTCATGCCTGTTTCTGAGATTTGGAGACATCGTGTTGGAGTCATTCATTGTTCTTACCTATATTGAGCAGTGTAAATAAATTGGTGGCATCAGCAATATACTGAGTAAAATTACAAGCAAACCAATATTGTTATTCAGCATTCAAATACCTTCTTCACTGCAAGTCAAATGTTACCATTAGAAAATTAGAGCTTCTAATTTAGCAGATCAAAGTGCTGCTGTTAGTAAACACCTTTCATTACAAACTGTGTTAGCAAAGTTAAGAATATATGAATTTTTATCTGTATTTGCTCCAACACTGTCTAGCTTCACTGAAGGAATTTTAAAAGGTACAAAATCAGCTCTATCTGTTATCTGGCCTGTTGTAATTAACAGCACTCAAGAATTCATCATTCTCTGTTGTGATATGCTGAGTACTTCTCCTTGCTTGATTCTAGCATTGTTTGAATTGGTACCTTTTTTTATTTCAGAGTACAGAGAAACTTAAAGTTTAACAGCAGTTTGACAGATTCTCCCTCAAGCGGCAAACTAAGAATGATCTAATGCACATTAGACATTTTAGCTCTGAATCATGCAGTATTCTATAAGGACTGCAGGTTGAATAGTTGCTGATTTATGCAGGGAAAAACACTATATTCATAGTAAGAACATTTATGTGAAATCTCTGGTGATTTGCTTCACCTCACCAGCTGAATGCTGTGCTTTTTATAGAGAGTTCAGAGCACCTATAATGTTGTCAGATTGGCACCTGGTGAGTACTTTTGCATGTTCTTTTTGCAAAATTGAGCAGAAAGACATTACTCTCCCCTTGTTTTCATTAAAGACCACATTGACAAGATTATTGAGGCCATGAACTCTTTATTGAGCTTATTTCAACCTGACTTGATGATATTTTTTAAAAGTAGCATTGTTAGTAAATGTGATGTCACTTCTCATACCCCATGAATAAGTAAGATGATGATGATGATGATCTTCATCATCATTATGATGAGCCATAACCTCTTGTTCACCTCTGTAAATGTGCAGCTCTACTCATATACTTGAAAACAACAAGGGCAATAACAAGAATATTAGTTAGCCACAGAATGGGACAGTGTACTCACAACTAGCAATTTTGACAAATATTTTTAATGTTCTAATGCTTATGTTTATTCTAGATTTGTTTTATGGAGTGAAACAAACTGCTGAAAAAATACGTAGAGTGCCAAAGTGTTGATATTATTGTGTGTTGTTTTTAACCTCCTTACAACTATAGGATATAGGATAGCCAAGAATTAAAATAGTGGTGAGGAGCATCAGCATCAGCTAGAAGATAAAATAAAAACATTATCACAAGTGGCAGAACCCTGTTTGCATATAGTGACTTGTGAAAATAAAGAAAAACCTGGAAAGTTTGGTGGTTGTTGTTTTTTTAATTTTTTAATCAGCTCTATTTTTTCTTGGGAGTTGAAATACATGGAAAGGGAACTGACAGATCACTTTTCTGGAGTTGAATGAGAATATTTACTATATAATTCAGAGAGCTGTAGTGATAGTACCAAGTTTTAAAATTAGAGGAGATCAAAAACAAACCATCCCAGTTCAGAAATAAATGAGATATGAATGCTGTACAAATTTCTTTGAATTCAGTTCAGTTTGTATGCAGCTTTGGGTCATGCCAACCTGTTTTTCTCTCAAAACCTGCCTTGCAGAAGTGTGTGTGTGTTGAATAGGGATGTAAAGAATAGTCTCCAGTTTTCTCATTCTTAATGGAAAGGATGTGTCAGGACTCTCTGCTCCTTAAAAGCAGGGAACTGTCTAATTAACAATTTGTAGGCTGCTCTAAGAGTGGGGTACTCTAAAGGAATGCTCAAAATGAAAAAATGAATAAATAAATACTCTAATGAATGGATGGATGCAGTGAAAATCCTCATAGTTCAGGACACTTTTTTCCTCACAGAAAGCATTTTTCTACATTAATGCTTGACTTTTTTTTGCACAGAAAACATCGTTTTCTGTGCATGAAACTCATCTGTTCAGAAAACATGATTTACAGCACAAAAATGTGTTTCTGGAGCAAAGCAGAAGAAAAGTTATGCATAAAAATGTGGGATTTGTACAGAAACATAATTTTCTACATTAAAAATGTGCAGAAATTCATGCTTTCTGCACCAAAATCAAAATGAAAAACCTACTCCCCACTCAAATGATTGAAGTTTTGCACAAAGTAATTATTTGAAAAAGTGCCAAATCATAGCACATCAGTTTTTTTAAAAAAAATTCTTCCTTGCTAGAATGAAATAAATGAATGATTACATCCCTACTGTTGAGCAACTTTATCAATTGTTAGTGTTCACCAGAATTTACTAGTTCCCTAGGACCAATATGGCATAGTGGTTTCAGTGTTGGACTGTGATTCTGGAAACCAGTCACACTCTTCCAGCCTCAGGGGAAGGCAATGGCAAACTTCCTCTGATCAAATCTTGTGAAGGAAACCCCATGATAAGTTTGCCTTAGGAAATGACTTCCAATGCCTTGGAAATGACTTGAAGGCACACAACAGCTCACTTATACTGTAGCATCAAGATTTACCTGATGCCATCTAATGTTATAGAATGCTGATGTCATTCAAATCTCATATCCTCTCAAGAGAATATATTTTCAGTTGCATCAGTTCACACATCATCCTGTACATCTTCAGGTACAATGAAATCATGCAATATGGTTGCTTGCTTGAAAAGAGCTAGGAGTGATTTTATTCTATAATCACAAGCATT